AGGAAAACCCCCCCCCCCCCCCCCCCCCCCCCCGCATGATCAGTTTAATTACAGAGGCGTTTTATTTGATTTTGTTTTAAACACCTTTGCATTCATTTTGTCATAAATGTAAGGGTTGCCATGCCTCCTGGTCTTGCCCCTTTTATGCCAGTGTGAAAATGTATGTCTGGACTGTTCCTAAAAGAGAATAGTAATGACATTTTGTGCTCACTTGTTCTGCACTGATAGCCAGAAGAGTGGCAGGTGTTGGCTAATGGCTTACTTAGAGCGAGATTAATTCAGTTTGCTTTATCTTAGTTTGGGTGTTAGACCAAAGAAACAAATTCCTGTAGATTTAAGGTGTTTGCGCTGCAAGTGACAGTGCATCCAGCTTCAACCTGATGGTTTGTTCACAGACGAGGAAGCCCCCTGCTGATTGGAGTGCGAAGTGAACACAAGCTCTCCACCGACCACATTCCCATACTGTACAGAACAGGTAAATACAGCTGCCAGGTCCTCTTACCACCCGGGAACAAGGGCATGTTTCAGATCCCATTTACCTTGGCCAAAATCCAGAGTGAGCTCATTGACATAAGGGAAGCAACTCCAGATTTATGTTAACTTATCAGAGAGGAAGAACCATTGAACTACAAGCTATGCATTCAAAAGGAGGAAATGCAGCAAGGGAGAGATTTTTCGTTTAACCACATGCTGTGTTGTATCCCTCAGTTGACTTTACTGTGCCCTGTTGGGAAGATGAGAAATTGCGTTAGCAGAAATCTTTTTTGATTGTGATCAAAGGTTTGATGATGTGCATTTGCAGGTAATCTATTCATAATAATTTTATATTACAGTGTTATCAGCATGCCCACGGATTGACAGTCGCACTCTTTTTTTTTTTTTTTTTTTTTTAACGTGAGAACTGGGGTTTACTCCCAAATAACTAGATCCTTTGTCTTATCCTCATGCTGGCAGAGTCTGACCCGGCACTTGCTAAAGTCAGTGAAACAACTTCCAGAGACTTAGTGAGGGTATTGGATCAGTCCCGTGGGTATCACAGTGACAGGAATGTGAGAGCACAGCAACAGACCTTATTTCCAATTCTGTCACGACTGACGGCATTTTTCCCTTAAGATTGTGCGTCAGATTAATGTAGAGACTGAACTGATAATGGATCTTCTGTCTCCGATTCCTTGCTTTACATTAGCTAACTGACTGGTTCTCTTTTGTTGCACACTGTTACGCTGTAATATTGACTATTTTCACCAATTGTCTGAAGTTATTTTTCTTTCCAATTACACTTTCAGCTGTGCAATCTATGGATCATTCTTTTGATGGAATATCCATAAAAAAGGAGGAAGGTGCCTATCAGAGACATACCTTTAACACACAACCTCTTGCTCCCTAAAGGAGGAATTGTAAATACGGGAAATCAGCATTGATTCTTTAATACGTGGTTATTGCTTTCCATGTAGCACCATAAAACAAACAGGAGGATCAGTATTTCTTCATAGAAAATGCAACAAATAATAAAGCCTCCCGTTTCTCCCAGTTCTGAGTATGCAATGATGCTGAGTGCACATACAACACTTAGAGCACCTTAATTGGATCATCTAGAACCAGATTCTGCTATGGGTCCTATGCACGTAAAGAGGCCATTTCCACTAAGAACCGTCATTTCCAGCTGCTGACAACGCAAGGTTTGTCTTATTATCTAGGACAGTACAGTATACTTCATATCTAGAAGTACAATATACTTTCCCCATTAAGGGGAGGAAAGGAAGGTGGCTTTAAATGTGGCCGTATGCCCTTAGCTTGCAGTAGCTACGTCATACTGGGATGTGCACAGCCCTGGAGGATGGAGTGACCTCAGTATTGAATAACATGACAATCTTGTGGAACTGGTGGATTTTGAAGCTGTGGAGGTTAACTGTGGACCAGCTAGTGATCTTGACTCTTAAACGAGTAGGTGATTTCTGTTGCCTCCCTTCCTTGTACTTGTACAAATAAGATCATTTTAGTAAAAGCAGTAAAGTCAAAGTGGCTGACTTAGTCAGATTTAAAAGTATTTCATGCCTCACAATGTTTGCTGACAGCCTCAGCATGAAGTGCTACTCTTCTGTTAGTTTACAATAAGATTTCGTGTTATCCCTAAGAAACATATAATGGAATGAGGTTTTAAGCAAAGCCATAACATCAGGTAACATATGCCACTTTGGTTGTCTCTGAAACACCACTCCCAGCAATTCAAGATGTAGCCTCACTCACACAAGCACAGAAAGATCTCATTTTCTGCAGAACCCAGTACTGTTTAGTACAGCAGTAGCTACTTAAAAATGCTAAACCAGCGTGCTCTGGTATCGGGATACAGTCAGCAACCTTGCCTTAGAGTGTTCTGGAAATACTTGTTTGTTTGCATTTTTATTTCTTAATTATCCATATCTTCACTCTTTGTGCTGAATAGGAAAAACTGCCGAGTTGATTTTTAGATTTTGGTAAATAGGAATCTGTAATCCTTATCATGGATCCTCTGCTATATGCACCTGTCTTTAGTTTTTTGAAAATGTTCTCTAGGACCTTTCGTGGAATGGATTTTATTTATTTAACACAATGGCATGAATGTGCTCTTAAGCTTGCTTCAAGCGTATGAGTTGAGACATGCTTATATAAGTGCTGTCTTGCACGCAGGCGCACCCTGTAGTTACAGGTGGCCATGAAACATTGTGCTGATAGTGTAGCGTTCGTTGATTTGGTTCGTGGAAAGCAATGCCACTTACTAAAGATTATGCAGTCAGTGTTGTACCGGGGGGAAAAGAATCTGCATGCTGGAATTTAACATGGGTGTTTTCATTGGGATCACTAACCCTCTGCCTGCTCTGATTGTATTCTTTGGTAATGTGGTAAATGAAATGGAGAGCTCTGAACTCTTGGTCTAGTAGAGCTTCCTTATTTTTCATCAGTATCAACATGAACGCAGAATTTTTTTTGTCCTGATTTTTGGAAAAAACTCCAAAGCCACAGATGGCAGTGTGCATGCAAAATGCTAGTTGTTGTAATGAATCAGATCAGTGGAATACATATTCTCTTCATAAAAACAATTTCTCCTTTTTGACCACAAGAATACAGCCGGGCCCGTAGAACAAGTTCCTGGTGTATCAAAAAAAGAAAGATGAAAACTTTCAAATTTTAATTTTCATAACATTTCCCTTCTTTTTAAAGAGTTTTGCTTAGACAGTCTATCAAATCATTCCTCTGCCAAGGTAGAGTTGTCATATGCATTACATTAATACTTTTGACCAAGTTAAAATATTAAACAATGCATATCATGCATTGGTCTTGGAGATTTATTTTACAGTTTAATAGTCCTTCCTAAGGTTAAAAAAAAGGTTGAAAAACTTTTGAGAACATTTGAATGGAATTTTAGACTTCTTGAAAAACTTAGATTATCCCTGAAGTAATCATAGAATCACAACGTTCTGTGACTGTGAAATAATGTTCCTCTCACTGCTTAGTCAAGCTTATGCTTCTTTTGATCCACCTAAATAAGTTCTTTTGAGGTGTTCAGTCTTAACAAAGTTTGCCAGCAGTATAAGTGAGGGCAAAATTGTTAGTAGCCTGGCCAGTCATGAAGGGCGCAGAGCAATTACTCCTGTGGTCTATTGCCTCAGTTTATAAACTGCGATCAGCAAATAGACTGTGAAAGAGATTTTGCTCTTGGCTGCACCTGTTGAGTGTCAACAGGATGATTATACAGGTATAACGAAGGAAAGAATTTGATCAGGAGAATTTTTATGAGCAGTGGTGTTAACTCAACCTAGTTGCCTGGAAAAATACTGGGCCCCACAAAGTGTGAAAGAGAGCTCAGAAGGCAGAGAGTTACTTCCCAAAGCAGAACTGTGAAGAGAGTCTTTTTAGTTAGTGTCTTCATTGACATTTTCTATAATTTTGCATTTCAGTGGCATGTTTAATGTCAAGCACAGCATTAATTCAGAAAGCTTTAAATGCCATGCAAACAAACTGAGAGAGGACACAGGAACATGAACAAACAATACATGACTTGGAAAAGGAGAACATGATCCTCTTTTTGCAAAACCTACTTTCAGTGTTAAATTGACCATAACTGCCTGACATTAAACCAAAATGCAAAGTGTCTAAACAATGCTTCATGCTGATACTGTGACTTGGGAACTTTGGTTAAGGCTGACGTTGCAGTGCGTGTTCTCTATTTTATGGATATGTGATGCAGAATGCTTCTTCATACTTTGCAGGTAAAGACAAGAAGGGAAGCTGCAACCTATCTCGTATTGACAGTACCACCTGTCTTTTCCCTGTGGAAGAGAAAGCTGTGGAATATTACTTTGCCTCTGATGCTAGGTGAGATTCTTTAGCATAGTAAAAGTGATGCTATTTCAGTTTAGCGTCCTGGCAGGTAAACTGAGATCAGTAGGCCTGTGAAACGGCTTTCAAAAGATTTACAAATAGTAATTTTTCACATGATGGGTGCTGAATTGCGTTCTCGTTTTTTGGTGGTGGTGGGAGGGAAGCAGGGGTAAAGATGGGTGAAATCACACTTTCTGCTAAAGACCTTCTTGCATTACTAGAATGGCCTTATTTTCAGTGAAGAATATCTGTTGATGATTCCAGAGTTGAGTAATGTGAAGCTTGAGAGTGCTGACCGAAAGTCAACAGACGCAGAAATGATCAGGAGGGTCGTGCAACTCTCCAGGAGTTTCTGTTCATAAGCAATTCTCAGCATTGTCTGCGGGGTCTCACATTTTTAAGCCCAAAGACGGGGGAAGTGTAGTGATTTAAAAAATACCTCTGCAGTTTCCCTAATGAAATTTCAGCCTTCCACATGTTAACAAACAGAAGTAGGTTTTAGGTAAATGTGACCAGAGGTGACTTGCAGCTCCTTTCATCTGAGAATTTTGAAGTGCATTGAACATTTAGGTTTACAGTGTCCCTGCATGTTCATCCCATTTTTACAAGAAGAGATTAAGTGACTTGGCCAGGGTCAGAGTGAGGCATCTAAATGTGGCTTCCACTGTTGAAACTATGGGCAGAATCAGGTTTAAAATGCTGTTGGTTAAAAAACTCCATATTTTCCTAGTGTTGAAATACCCCAAGTTAATTGATTCTGGATATACAATCCCATAGCAATAAATATCCAACTCATCATACCTTTCATCATACCTCTCTGATTTGATTTCCTCTTAGAGATGGCAAAGGGAAGGGAAATGACTTGCCCAGGATCTCTCGGGAGGCCCCAGAGCCAGGAATTGAACTCGGGTCTCCTAAGTCCCACTCTTTTTACCTCTTAATACTTAGACCAGACTGCAGCATAATATCCTTTGTCTAAGATATGCATAGAGTGGTCTTAAAGGGAGACCATAAATTAATGATGAGACAAGGGGATGAAATCTTGTTTTGTTGTCAGTGTGGAAATGTTCCTTGCACCGTTTCTATTTTTTCAAGAAATTCCAATGAAATGAGTAACTTTATTGAATACAGAAGTTGCTCGGTTGATTGCAAACTCAGCTGTAACTGTTTTTTCCTCGGTGAAGCAGTCGGTGACCTATGGCACATGGTGTGTTCTTGTTACAGTGCAGTTATTGAACACACCAACAGAGTGATTTTCCTTGAAGATGACGATGTAGCAGCTGTGGTGGACGGTCGTCTTTCTATCCATCGGATCAAACGCACGGCGGGTGATCATCCTGGCCGGGCTGTTCAGACTCTGCAGATGGAACTTCAGCAGATCATGAAGGGTAAAGTCTTTTGATCCTTTCCTCCATGCTCAATAGGGGACTGTTCCCTGTCAGCTGGCACCAGTAGCTTAGTGACGTAATTTGTCGGGTTGAGGGGTCTGTCTCCTGTTCAGCAGCATATCTTGCTTCTCAGACTGTGCCCTAAACAAACAAAATGTCGCATTGGGCATCTCGCCTCCATCAGTGGAAACACTTGCTTACCGCACCTTCCCAAATATGCAGTTCCATATAGGAGTGATAGGCTCTTCATTTCTGGCCCTTAGAGCAATAAGCATGTTTTCTGCTTTGCTCTCACGTGCTCCTCTGTTCACTGCAGTTCTGGTATGATGTAGTTTCTTTCCACTGTTCCTTTATTTATTTATTTATTTCTTTATTTTAGGTAACTTCAGTTCATTTATGCAGAAGGAGATTTTTGAGCAACCAGAATCTGTTGTTAACACCATGAGGGGCAGAGTCAACTTTGATGACTACACTGGTAATTATGAAGACTTGTTACAGTTTTAGGTCTAGCGCTCTCCAAATGAGCCTTGGTGGGGTAGGAGCTAGATAAATAAGCTGTGTGTGTAACAGGAAATGCCGTTACTTGGAATGGGCCTTCCACAGCAGTGACAGGAGAGAGGTAGTCTCTGCTGACTCAGGGACTCAGGTTATTATTTATGATGGGCTTGGTCATGTGGTTTCCTAGCAGAGAAAAGGTTCTCTTTACTTGGAGAACCCAGGAAACACTGAGGACCCTGAAAAGTCACATGCTATATTTGTCTTTTGCTACATCAACATTTTTTTTTATTTCTTTTTTATTTCCTTTTTTTTTTTTATGCTAACCTGTTGCAGTGAACTTGGGTGGGTTGAAGGATCACATCAAGGAGATCCAGCGGTGCAGACGTTTAATCCTAATTGCTTGTGGGACGAGTTATCATGCTGGAGTTGCAGTAAGTAGCTGTCTTTTATTCATTTCCTTCCAAACTTGGGCTGAATTAGCTGATGATGTTTGTCCTGAGCAAGTTATGGTCTCATCAGATGCAATAGGGAAAAGTGCATTATCCAGTGGCGGGTGTTTCAAGGTGTGTAGGGTAAAAGAATCTAAATAAAAAGGGGCGTGAGTCCAGGTTGTGCTTAGTGGGACTTTTTAGAAGTTTCTTTAAGTGCCTTGGATCTTTCAAAAATTGCACTGTGCCTATCTGTATGTTTAGGCACCAAAACCCCTTCAAAATTTTGTCCTTTAATAGAGTGCACACATCGTTTCCGAAAGCTGGACTTAATTGCTTATGGAAATTTTAGCCTTTGGAAGAAAATCTCTTCTGAGAAAATTGGCGAGGCATGTGACAACATAGTACTGTAACACATCTACAGAAAGTTAAAGGTCATCCTGGGCTAAGTCTGACTTTTCCCCTTGGTTTTTGCAGGCTCTGACAACAGAGTATTAAAGACATCCATCCAAATGCCATATATAATATGACAATTCTGTTTCATGCCACGCAATTTCATAAATGTTTGCAGGAGCGTGGTCGTGTGCAAACAACATGTAACTGTATTCTCTTGAGGCATGTTCTGATTGCAGCTTTATTGGATTGTTAGTTGGCAGCCCAGAAGTTCAGGATTGTTTCATAAAAAGAGTCCTTAGTTTTTTTCCAGATAGGCTTTGTGGTCATTTCAGGGTGCTTTTTCGTTTCTTTTTTTTTTTTTAAACACACAGCTGCATTAACTATTTCATTTGAATCAGAAAATGAAGCTGACTCTCATCTGGCAACTTCCATGTTCCAAGGGAATGCAGATCACCATCAGAGAGTCGCTCGGGCCAAAATAGGGTTTCATGTGTTTTCCTTAGACTGGCTGCAGCTTTTGGGTGCTTCAGTCATTGTTTTCCTTAGACTGGCTGCAGCTTTTGGGGGCTTCAGCCTTTCAAAAAAGGCTTTCAGCATTTATCCTGGTTAAGTTCTTCACATCCTCTTCACCCAGCTCACAGACAAACAGCTCCTGTAAATATGCTCCAGCCGGATTGAATTGAATTAATTGAATGAATATTACTCCCGTTGAGCGTAAGGTTCTGGCCTTATGGATTTCTTTGCCAGGTCATGACCAGAGTAGCCTTCCATATTGCCTTTCATATCCTATGTATGTCGAATGCAGGTCTGTTGAATGGCATGAGGATATATTTTAATTAATCTCCATTGTGATATTGTGACTGTAACATTTTCCAGCGCTGGACAATTTAAGGTTCCTTTTGTATTCTAAGGTCTTTATTGTTTAAGTACTGTGGCACATGTAACTTCCTGACCTCTCTTTCAGACTCGGCAAGTGCTGGAAGAACTGACTGAACTGCCTGTTATGGTTGAACTCGCCAGTGACTTTTTGGACCGAAACACACCGGTCTTCAGAGATGATGTTTGCTTTTTCATCAGCCAGTCAGGTAGGAGTGCTCTTGCCCCTCACCTATCCCTCTGCTATCACTGTAATTCTAAAAACATAAATCCATTAGGTCAAACTATTGTCTGCTATTCATATTGCTTGTTATGTGCATCAGTGAAATACTGGCGCAGCGATCCAAGAAATGAAATACACTTACTAAATCTCATTTAATCCGTCTTTGTGTCAGCGCGGCATTCATGCTTTGTCTAGTCAAGTCTTACATGTGGCAAAAAAGGCTTCTATCCTTTCTCTAAGGAGAATTATTTCACAGCATAATAAAACCAAAGATAAATAAAACCACCCTTTGCCTCTCAAATTCAGTAAAGATTTCTTAAATTTTCTTATCGCTAATTCAGGAAGAACTATAAATATATACCAAGCCTCATCCTGAATTTATTGAAATACACAGACACTAGGTCAGAAATTAAATGAGTGTAGAAATTGCTGTACTCCCAACATAACACCACCTTGGAACGAAGCCCAAGATAAAACAAATGCTTAAGCTACAGAATAAGTATTATTCTTAATGAGTCTCATGACCCTGAAATCAGATGAATGGCTTGTTTTAATATTTGTAATACAGGGAAACAGCTTTCCCTTTCTTTTTTTTTTTAAGCTTTTATCTAATTTTGCTGTTTCCTTCTGCTAATGCAGCTTTGATTATTAAAGGAAGATCTTGAAAGGAAATAGCTTTTTTTCTTTCTGTCCCTTCATTGCGGTCTAGGGAAAGCAAATAATTTTGATCACCATAACAGCATTATTTTCATCACAAGTATCACAGTTGTTACTTTCTGGTTATGAAAATTACTAAGAAAGTATTAGTTTGCCTCGACACTGTTACTTTGGAATGTCACATAGTCAGAAAGTTTCTAGGATGTAGTGGCTAGGCCTTTTCCCCTGAGTGTTAAATCTGCTGCTTTCCTCCAAGAACAAGGCTTTCCATATTCTAGCATGGTTCTTGTTCACAAGAACACTCCAAGGACCCATCTTCTTTTAAACCTGCTAATAGACAATGAAGTAGGATCTGAACTATTGTTGCTGTTGCTTGGGAGAAGTTCAGTAGCCTTCCACTCAAGGCTCCAGGAAATTTAACTAAATACTGAGCTCAAACAAAGCTCTCACCACCAGATCTTTGCTTTTAAAAATATTTTCTCTAGAAAGGTGAATCCTAGCGAGGGATTTCTGTGTGCCAGGATATTACAGAAAAAACTAGCGTGTACTCGGCAAACCCTGTTTTAGTGCTTCCTGATGTTGTGTCAGCTTTGCATAGAACAAAAAGGCATGTCCCTGTAGCTGAATTACTTACTAAAGCATGCCAGTAACACTATACTAAACGTTCAGTTGCTTCTATTTCTAGTGCTGTCTCTGGGGCTTTGCTGTGTTTGCATCAGAACTGGAGCATCAGTGCAGTTTTGTGCTCTGAGGAATCGGCCGGTTTGGAGGCCATGAAGGGCTGATGGAGTGTTTAGACTAATTCTTATCTGTTTTCTTGAAAAAAGAAGCCCCAAGTATTCAACTATGATGTCTTGACTGAGAAGCTGCTTCTGATGTAGGGCACAGCTGAGGCTTCTGAGATGCCATTTTTTAAATTTTAATGTTGCTTCAAGACACTTGAGCCACACACAAGCCAGGTTATGTGACCAGCATTAGAACGGTCCTGCACTGAGACTAGCCCCATTCTAGGAGGTAATACAACACCTTTATTCTTTAGGGGAGGGGTGATATCCAGGGAATGAAACCTAAGATACTGCAGTCTTCACAAGCTACAGCAAAAAAATACAAAATTAATACATGACATAATACCCAAAATGAATACATGCAGAGATTTTGAGTTGGAGATCTGAATTTCAGTAAGCTACTTAATGTATTTAATGCATGAGCTCTTTGAGGAACAGATTCCATCACTTGAGTTACTGTAAGAGTGGTTCGATAGATCATTTTGAATTGATGCATACTGCAGTCTTAGAAGGTGTAGGATATTAACACCTTTGGAAAAGTGTTAAACAATTAACTATCAGGTAGTAATGCCTGCATAGTGGACTCAGATTGGATTAATAAAGCTGGGTATATATTAAGCGATATTTTTTTGCCTGGTGAATCAGTAAGAGGTAGTTTTAATTTAATTTAATTCACATTTGCAAAGCAGACCTAATTCACCATGCTTATTGAACATTATGCCAAAATTAGTGGCATTAAAAAGCATAGGGTCAATGTTTACCTTCACCAAAGCTATTTTTAAGTCTACAAATTGGGTACCAATGTCTTTGAAAGTGAGTGAGTTTGCAGAAGGTTACATTGCCCATTTCTAGTAGTTGAATTTTCAGTGGTCCTCAGTACAAATTAATGCAGGCTTTTAATTTTTTTTATTTTTTTTTTAAAGACCCATTTATAAACCTTACCTTCAGCATACCTGCTTTCTGCGCTATCACATATGCATCATTGCAGCATTGCCTGTAACTTGTCTTAAATTTGTACATTTATCTTTGCAGGCGAGACAGCAGATACTTTGATGGGTCTTCGGTATTGTAAGGAAAGGGGTGCCCTAACGGTGGGAATCACTAATACAGTCGGCAGTTCCATATCCAGGGAGACGGACTGCGGAGTCCATATCAATGCAGGCCCAGAGATTGGTGTTGCCAGTACAAAGGTGAGTACCAGATATATAGCCCTTGCTCTTTTGTAGTCAGATTAACTTGCTTGTGGTTGACTGCACTTGTATGTCAGCAGAAGCTCTTTTTAACCAAACATATTGCATGGGGCTTCTCTCTTCCTTGGCATTCTTTAATATTACCAAAAAAAATCACAACTTATTTTGGAACATATATTAAAAAATGTGTCAAATGAAGCTACTGAACATTTCTACAGACAGCTAAACAGAAGGCTTCGGTGGAATTATTTTGAGTATTGAAGTCAGAATTGTAGGAATTGGTTCCCTTTTTGATGCAATAAATAACCTTAAGTAAGGAAGAAACCTCTTATTATAACCTGCTTCACTCTCAATAAAAGTGGCTGAACACAAAAAAGACTTAATTTTCATCTTTGGATGGATGGTCCTATAAGTTATATGCATGCAAACACTGTCACTGCTAGAAGGTGAAACTTTGTTAAAGGAATCCTTTTAAAGAAGATTACTTTGCTATGTTGTACAATGAAGATGTTTTGCACTGCAGGTAAATGATATGACCATTTTGTTGGAGGGGTGTCAGGCTGCTGGATAAACTTGCAGGGGATTTGGGGATTAATGGCAAAAGTACAACTGTATTCATGAGTGGAAATATGTAGCTACCTTGAAAGCAAAGTGGGGAAACCTTGTTGCTACTTGTGTGGTTTATAATCCTCTTGCTTTCTTCCAAGGCTTTTGCTGCACCTAAAAAGTACACCAGTATGAAAAAGAAAAGGATCCAGCAGAATCTTATTTTTTTTTTTATTTAAAATGTGCAAACTTAATAATTCTTGACGTACAATTCTGGGGCCGGATTCTCCACCCTAACATTAAGAGTAGTCATTCAACTGGATGGAGTTGTACCAGCATAAGTAACAGGAGAATCTGTCTCTGATTAAAATAGTAACAAAGCCAAACCTATACAAATCCCCCATAATTAAGATTTTCCAGGCACCTTTTCGGTGCTTTCCTAAGAGGTCAGAGAAGCAAGAGTAATCCCTGATTAGCAAGTTTTCCTCACCATAGCAAGTCTTGCAGTATATCGTAAATATTAGAGTTCTGGACCAAACGGCACCAGATCTGTTCACTCTATTTAATTCCTTGTCTGTTCAAATCAGAGGGTGCTTGGTTTCAGTGCCTCAGATCACAAGTGCTAAGAAGTATTAAAAGGTAACAGGTAGTTTCTGCAGTATGGAATTAGGCAGGCCTTATGCATGCACACTGCTTATACCTTGACTTTTGTAGATGCTTCCAGTATACGTGTAACTCCTTGGCATCTTGCCTGACCCCTGTGGTTGGTCTTGGGACATAGCACTGACCTAGTGCCACACTCCTTCATCCCAGCATGCTCCACATTCATTCTTGCAGATGTTTTAAAAAAAATAAAGGCAAACATTTATATTTTGAATACAAAAGATTAAAGAGAGGCCAGGATTTCGGCAACAGATGGAGAAAGGCAAGGTCATTAGTTTGCCATTGCTGTTCCGGCTGATTCGGGGCGAGGGAGGGTGCCAGGGTGTTGGGACAGTGTATGAAAACTGCCCGCAGACATGTTTCCTCCAGCATGCTTCAGTTGTGGTGCAGTTCCGAGGCCAGACGAGGCGAGCAGGCTTCTGTACTGTTCAGATAAGTGAGAGTAACCCCATGTTGAAAGCAACTCTGCTAATGGCTCGGTAATCTGAATTCCAAAATCAGGGCAGACTTGAAGAGCAGTAATTTTATGGAATACAGAAAATGATATTTTTGAAAAATGCAGAGATGTCCACTAAATATGGAGTCTGATTTCCTTGGCTACAGCCTCTGGCTACATGCATGGTATAGCATAAAATTTGCTTTGCAGCAGTTCATTCAAATGGAGTGCTTCTGCACAGAGAAATCTGCTTTGATTTAGTTAGGTTCTGGGAGAGATGATGTCAATCTGTTAGATGAATTCAGCCAAAAACCACATTTGAGTTTAACAGTTCATTGGGGAATTTGGTCATGGAAAAATCATGATTCTTGCAAAAAGTCTGGAGCGAGCTGTGTTTGTTCCTGGATTCTGTTTATCTTGACAACTTTATAGTTTGTAGGTCACTCTCTAGTGACACAGAGACTTACCTGTATGTGCTGCAATTTAAACGTGAGGTCTTAAATTACTGATTGGCCCGTGAGCCCCAGGAATTGCTCTGAATTTCTATGAAACTCCACTTCGAGAATGTAGGAACCCAAAAGGAAATTCTGGCTGTCGAAAGGAAAAAATCCAGGCAGTATTCACACTGCTGTTCTGTATTAATGCCGTTGACTTTCAAACTTGAGCTGTATGCTACCAAGGGCAGAGCATGTGCAATATATCCGATTGCCTTGTTTGCATGACTGAAGGTTTTCTGGACTCTTTGAATTCTCCATAAACCTTCTGCAGTAACTTTGGCCATAAATTTGTGTTTTCCTTAAACAGTGGCAGACAATTAGAAAGGTTACAGAGCTGTGCTTTTCCTATAGGCTGACTGTAGATTTTAATGCATTTCTTGATATTTGCTTTACAGGGTTTGAATCCCTGTCTAGCAAAATGTCACAGGCCAACTTGTTAAATACTTGATATTTTCTGTAATTGTGTTGAGTCTTCCTTTCAAGGATTTTTACAGCACCTCTGATTTAAATCTAGCAAGAGCCATGTTTTACACTAGTCTTTTACAGATGCTTGTTTAGGGTAATTGTTTAGTTTGAAAGCTTGCCTTCATTTGAGTTCATTTGTGCAGATGTACACAGTTTTTAGCTTTGGTTTCCCCTGCAGCCAGAAATGCAAGTTGCTGTGGTCCTGTTGGACTCAAAGCATGTACAAATATAGTACAGCCCAAGAAGGGTAAAAAGGTGAGAATCTGCATTTTGCTGGCTGGTATCCCCATTGTAGGGTGAACCGGACTAAACATCTTCCATGAACAGGGCTTTTTATTTTCTGTGATCAATTTTAAATAGTGAAAAACTGTGAGGTCAGTTTAATTCACTACTTTCTACAAGTAATTTCCACATGAGGAAAAATGTCCAATCCAGCTATTTCATTGAAGGTACCTGGATGAAAATCAGATCCAAAGTACTTGTCTAAAATGCTGACTTTCAGCATTTTTCTCACTGTGTTGCAGCTTTTGAGTGTGCTGGGTTTTTTTACATGGGTGTATCAAAATACGTGCTTACTCCATCACTTAACTGCTTTGCAAGTGTTAGAGTGTAGCTGTTGTGATTCAGTAGCAGTGTGGAGATGCCTATATGCCTACTTGCTTTCCATTGCACTTGTCTGCAGCAGCCCTGTTTCCATCTGCAGTGATTTTGGCTACTGATTGTAATACAGCCAGTTTTTGCCTCTTACATTTATTTAACTTAGTGAGTAAACAAAGGTAGAGAGAATCAGCTGCCAACAAGAAGGGGGATACTACAGAAAATATTACTCTGCAGGTCCAACATGTGGCACTCCTGGGGTCGGATGTTGCAGAATAAGGGTGATGGTGATCGGTTCTCTGTTTATCGTGCGCTTGATTTACTGCATTTCTGAACACCGAACTTGTGCTCGTTACCTCAGCCGGCTTGAAATGCAGTTGTGCTTGCTTCGGTATGGGCCTACATTCATGCAGATGCCTTGCACTTCTCATTCTTATGTTTCCATGCTGAATTGGAACTAAAATGGTAGTGCAGCAGCATGGAATTGCTCTCATGACTTTTTTTTAAAGGCAAATCTAAGCACTGTCTGAGTGAAAAGCAACTTCACAGGGAAACTTCAAACCTTTCCAGCAAAAGAAGAAGAAAAAATGTACCTCCTCCACCATTTAATCTGCCCATTAAAAACTAGACGTGGAAACCACAAAACAGTTGTATTTTTCCCTCCAACATCTGTTGCTGACATCACAGTCGCATACCACAACACAGGCAAGGCTATCTAAAGTCTGATAGTCTCCAGCTGTTGCACAGTCTCCCTTTAATAATGGCAGTATGAAAATAACTGTTTTTGGTGATTTTGGCAGCCTTAAGATACTGCTTTAACCATCCCCCACCCCCTTTTTTATTAAATCTCAAATGTTTAGGTTTAGCTTGGATACTCAGCTTCATCTAAATTCCCTTTCACATGGACCATATAAATGGACCTAATCTCTAAGGCTCCTTTGAAAATCCCAGCCATTAATTGCAGCCCACTTTGTCAAGGTTGCAGCGTGCTTTGGAATAACCTGTATCAATGCAAAGTGCTCTAGAAATAAAGGTGCATCTGCTTTCATACTTTTAACATTGGACTCTGAGGGCTTCTCGTGCTTAAAACTGACTAATCCCGATAGTTGTGGAGCAACATTATGAATCAAGGCTTGTGTCTGTGTACTGTTGTGTGGTACTGAATGTGATGGCACTTATCTTCCTCCTCTCTCTCCTTCCTAGGCCTACACTAGCCAGTTTGTTTCTTTAGTGATGTTTGCCCTCATGATGTGTGACGACAGGATTTCTATGCAAGAAAGGCGCAAAGAAATAATGAGAGGTCTGAAAGGACTGCCAGGTATGGATCACGTTGGTCAGCACTGTTCCTTTTGCTCTGTTCTTGCAGGGGTGTTCCTGTCTGCAAAGGGCCAGCACGAGATCCGTTATTTGAAACGAGCCAGAAGGGGTGGACTGCTTTTTGACTCGAAATGTGCCTGTCGTTTTTACCCTGTGAACAAAAGATGCAGTATCTTTGTTAAGGATTTAAGGCCAGGATGAAGTTGTGGACAGAAGACAGGGTAGATTGTGTGGCACTTGCCCATTGTAGGCTGAACTTTTTGGACTTGGTGTTTTTTGTGCAGAGGGGGCTTGGCAACCAAAATGATCGGGCATGGAGCAGTTGACATACCAGGAGAGACTGAAATGGTTAGGACTCTTCAGGTTGACAGGAGAAGGCTGAAATGGGGTATAATAGAGGGCTATAAAATCATGAAGGGGGTGGACTGACTGAGTGAGGGACTGTTCACCAAGTACCAGAATACTAGAACAAGGGAGCACCTGCTGTTAGTAGTAGGTGACAGATTAAAACTAACAAGAGAAAGTACTTTTTAATGCAACATAGTTAACTTGTGGAGTTCGTTGCCACAGGAGGTGGTAGAAGCAGGCAGCATAGGCAGATTCAGGGAGGAGATCTATTAATAGCTGTTGAACAAAATGGTTGAAGATGTTTCCTCTGGCATCAAAGCCCTGGCTGGGATGATCTAGCTGGGAATGACCCTGCTTTCAGCAGGGGGTTGGACTAGATGACCTCCTGAGGTCCCTTCCAACCCTAATTTTCTGTGCTTCTATCTCTCAACCTAGAATTGGGGATTGGTGGTACTGAATAGAGGATAGGTCCCTCTAGAGATCGTTCTCTATATACTATCCGCTTCTGCCACTGTTGCATCATTGGTCTGACCCAGTATGGCACTGCTTAGGTTCTTATACATGAGATTACAGAGGTCATTTACTGAGCTCAACAGTGGGAGTTGATGGTTCCAGGCGCAGACAAACGTGTTATCCTTCAGTGAGAAAACAGGAGGGTTTGTACCAAGCCCAAATGTATTTGTGGGGGAAGCGTTAAAGACTTACCTCTTTGCCTCTTCCTCTTAGACTTGATTAAAGAAGTGCTGAGCATGGATGATGAGATCCAGAAACTGGCAACAGAGCTTTACCACCAGAAGTCTGTTCTGATCATGGGTCGTGGTTATCACTATGCAACATGTCTGGAGGGGGCTTTGGTAAGGAAACTCTTTATTTGAAACTGAGCTTGACTGGTAGCAGGGGCGATTGTGTAGGGGGTGCACCCCCCTCCCCTCCCCTCCCTCCCACCTTTTGCTGCTGACCTTGCCAGCGGCACCTGCGGGAGCTTCCAGCTTACGGCTGCCACCCCAGTGCAGCCGTGCCCCACCCCCGAGCCACGCACCATTCGTGACTGGTGGGGTTGGATGGTAAACTCAAACCCTCCAGCACTGAGCTTGGCTCTGAGGTGTCCTGAATTTCCTCAGCTTGTAAACTTTTTCTTTAAAACAAACAACTACCAGATGTGACATTCCCCAAAACAGCTCTGGAGTAGCTGATATTTAGGTGAAATGTCTGTTTTGTTTTCTGTACAAAGTATTTAAGATGAACTCTAAGTAGGGCACTTTGCAAACCATGTAACCCACTGTCTTAATAGCTGTGTACTGTAACCATTTTAAACGTACACCTGTTGCTTGCATATTAACTTTGATTAGACTTCTGGAGTTTAAAAAGAGCAAAGCCCTCCATAGGCTGGAGCAGTTTCCAATTGTTCCACAAGCATGTTTTTGGTACATACTCATCTTACATTTGGATCTGTGCAGACATACTATGCGTTACCCCAAACCGGAGAGTTGTGGGTAGATCTGGGGGTAGAGACCCAAGAGTGTTGGTGGCCTGTTTCTTGAGCTAGGACCACAACTTTAAACTTCACCCAGGCTTCCCACCTCCACATGTTGACTTGTGCCAACAGCAAATTTGAGAGGGAGTTGAAAAGGTAAGGGCCTTCTTCAGATCCTTGCTCATTCTAAGGAAGAGTGATTTAAATAGCTGATCCACCCTGATGGCAAAAAAACATCGTCACTGCAGGGGAAGTAACTCTATCAATATTCTTCCTGTGCAGAAAATTAAGGAAATCACCTACATGCATTCAGAAGGGATATTGGCTGGTGAGCTGAAGCATGGTCCCTTGGCACTGGTGGACAAATTGATGCCAGTTATCATGATTATCATGCGGGACCATACATATGCCAAGTGCCAGAATGCTCTCCAGCAGGTTATTGCACGGCAGGTAAGTTAGAGCCACATTTTCTTTGTATCCGTCCTCAGTCTGGAAGTTAAAATTGATTCCTTCACTGGTAAAGTATTAGGAAATGCTAAGACGTGTGGGATGGGCCAGCGGCATTATGGGCAGTACTGTAGTGCAGATGAGGGTAGTGCTTTCAGTGAGTCTTTCAAACCTTTTCCTTCATATTCAGCTCAGGTGAACTTTGAGGCCACTGAACAGCTGTTAGATGGACACTGTCCATTTAGCAAAGTAAACTCGGTGGGCTTTTAAACCACCTTTTGTTCATCTTACATTAAAATTGTGATTAACAGCATCATCTTCAAAGGAGTCCCAGACAAAATTATGCATCAACTGCTGTGAACAAAAGCTGTTGTAAATATTTAATTCAATAGCTGGTGAAGCCCAGAGCTTACACACACATTTATATTTTATAGAGACTTTTTCTCTAGCTAGAGCAGGGGTGGGCAAAATAAGGCCCGCAAGGCCATTCTATCTGGCCTGCGGAGCTCCTTTTAAAAAAAAAAATGTAGAAAATTTAATATTTCTCTGCCCTTGGTTCCCATCAAAATGTTCCTTGCTTGCCATGTGGCCGGTGCCCCGCGCTGCAGCCACCCACAGCCCACCCGGGACTGCCTGTGCCTGCTCCACGCAGCCCCGTGTGGGCTGCGAGCGCTGGCCATGGGGTGAGCGAGGGGCCGCTTTTCCTTATGCTCAGCACCAGCTTCTACCTCCCTGGAAAACAGGGAGTCGGGGCTGTGCGCTGCCCCCCGCCTGTACGACAGGGCTGGGGGGGCACTGGGTGTGAGTGGGTGGGGAGCCAGTGGGAGCATGGGGCCCACAAGGGTGCCCCGGGGCCAGTGCCGGCAGGTCCAAGAGCAGGGTGGCAGGAGCACAGGGTCCCAGCCGGCAGGGGCTCTGGAGCCGGGCCAGCTCCCCCCTCCCTGCTGGTGCAGCCCAGCCCAGCTCCACGGACCCCTGCCAGCCTGCACCCTGCTTTGGGCCCCACCAGTGCTGGCCCTGGGACATTGGTCCCAAGATAGTGACCAGGGGGTGGGGCATCTGTCAAGGGGCGAGGCATCTGTTAAGGGGAGGGGCTACTGGTGCAGCCTTCGACAGCCTGCCAGAACTGGGTAAGCGGCCCTCCACCCGAAATAATTGCCCACCCCTGAGCTACAGCATGAAAATATAAATTTAAAACTGATGTTTTTCTGACTTCAGTTAGTTCAGCCAGAATAGCATGAGTAGTATAAGATAGTTTAACATTTTAGACATTTCTCAACTTATGTCGTATGAAAACTATCCACTTCCATCAGGGCTTTGAGAAGTGACGTGCTGTTGCCGACTGAACATTTTAATACTTGAATGTTGTTCAGTGTCCTGTAAGGAAGTTCCCTGGTAAAAAGGCAAGAGCAACAGACCCATGGCTTAAGCCTTCAACACAGTATCTTAGGGTCACAGTACTCTAAGTGACTGCTGTGCTGTTTAGAAATTAAGTGAAATATTTGCTATACAAAAAAGTAGAACTCTTGGTTCCAAAATGATACCTTTTATTAGACCAACTGGAATAAAAGGTATCGTTTTGGAACCAAGAGTTCTAGTTTTTTGTATGTCTTTTTGTCTCAGACCAACATGGCTACCAAGGACACCCGTGAAATATTTGCAGGATTTGGACAAATAAATGTTTGACCCTTGTCAGTCTTTCCTGATTATGGTTTCTCTGCTTGCTGATGCATATCTTTCTTCCAGGGAAGGCCCGTGGTCATTTGTGATAAGGAAGATATAGAGACAATTAAGAATAATAAGAGGACAATCAAAGTTCCCCATTCTGTGGATTGTCTGCAGGGGATCCTGAGTGTTATCCCTCTGCAGCTCCTGGCTTTCCATCTTGCAGTGCTCAGAGGCTATGATGTAAGTACTCTACTAGCTCTGCCCCCTTCCATTTTGTACTTACTGTGGAGAGGACAGGAAGAGATCTTTGTTATGCTGAACAGAAAGCTGTGCTCTAATAAGGCCTTAATAGGGACATCAACATAATGAAGATTAGGTCACTGGGGAGCCCACCCTAGAGGAAAAGTGCATGCCTTAGCTCCATCAGAGACCAGAAACATCCTCTGTAGGTAGTATTGAGTAGTCCTTCCTGGTCATAATGCTTTATACAGCCTTGGTAAAAGGTTCTGCCCTTCTTCCTAAAAGCTGACTTAGTGTGTGTGACCTTTAATAAGTCATAACCTTTGCCTCAGTCTGGCATCACTGTCTCATAAATTGTCATTTTGGCTCCTAGGAAGACAAATATTTTAATCTGAGCCTATGAGTCCCAGAGCACAAGAAGCCGTAGTGCATTTTTTTTTTTTTGGGGGGGGGGGGGGGGGGGGGGTGTGCAAAAGTGGAAAACCTAAACAGCCTTGCCAGGACATTCCAGTAACTTTCAGATGTCTCCCTTTTAATGGCTCTTAGGAAGTATAAAATGTCGATGCCTACCTTCCTGTTCACAAATTCCATGTTTTATCTCTTTGCAGGTTGATTTTCCAAGAAATCTGGCCAAATCTGTAACGGTAGAATAAAAGTTCATCTGAATGTTAGGGGCATGGGGAAGGGAACGAGAGACTCTTTTGGTACCAAAATACTTTGATTTTTCCGAATCCCCTAGGTCAAATCTCATTTTGTTAAATTGTTGTTTGTGTAGGAGATGATCATAATTCTTTTGCATTTGGTGATTGTCAAATAGATTCCACGTGCTATGGCCATAGCTGTGTTCTGTTGAATTACACCTCACAAAGGGTGTTGAATTATTTTCTTTGATAAATGCCCTGTCATGTAGTTGAGGGTCCACCAGTTTACTTTTGAGATAAATGAGCTGAGTATTTGTTATTCAGTGTGGTTTGCTCATATCGTTGAAGAGATACCGTTACATGAAGTAATTGTAGTGCTTTCAGGCCATGAGGGCAGGTCCTGGTATATGAAATTAGATTTGGCATCATGATGACTCGCGAGTAGCCAGGGATTATAAAAAGCTTGGGTCAGATTCTGACTCCTTTACACTGGGGAACTCCACAGAAAGGTTGTTCTCTCCTCTGAAATCTGTTGGTAAACTTGCTCCAAGTAGCCTCAGCAGGACCTTGCCTGTGCTTTAGCACCTGACAGTCCTTTCAGACAGCGGGCCAAAATCTACTCTTACACCAGCACATGTGGAGTTGAGGCCGAACCTCAGTGCAAGTGAGAGCAGCATCTGACCCAGTCCTTGCATAGTTAGCAAAGCGAAAAGAAACCCTGAGAGCCTGTTGTGCAGCAATCGCAAAACTATACATTCCCCAGGCTGTCAAGGAACTCTTGACCCCTCACCCCCAACGCAAGTATTGCAACACTAAAACACCCAGCATTTGGGTACTGGTTTGATTACAAGCAACCTGGGTTTTGAACACCTGCAAGACCTTTCCTCTGTGAACAGGATTCTGCTTTGAGCATCCCTGCTTTCACCCTGCCAGGTGGGTACACAACCAGAGGGATGACACTAACTGTGCACACAGAACTGTGCACGTGTCAACTGCTACGTTAGGGCAGTCGCAGGTAACACATGCATGCCCCTTGGTTTCATTTGAGCTGCTTACTCTTAATTTCTCGGTTTCGGGGGGAGAGGGGTGTAGCAGATAGCTACAGGGGCGTGTGTGGCTTTATTTCTAAAATGTTGGTGTTTGATAGTAGTTTACATCTGGGGCAGGGAGCCAGAAGACTTCGTGGACAGGACTCCAAAAAATATTATGAGAGGGATTTCTCTCATAATTGAATTGAATTAAGAGTTGTAATTGAAACTAGAGGCAAATGTTCAGCGCCTTGATTTTTAGAAATGCAAGTCATTCAGGGACAGTAAATGTCAGCTGATGGAAAGGGGTGAAATTCATACCGTATTTGGTGTGTTTGAGCTATATTGTTATGCACAAGGCTAACACTTAAAACAAAACAAAACAAAAAACCCCATAGTACTTCAAGACCTGCAGTCAAGCTTACTGCTGAGCAGTTGAGGTAACTTACTATTATGGAGCCAAAGTTTGCAGGGCTAATTGTCTAACATGCACTGTTTTGACATGTAGACTTCTACTTGATCAGGAAGACTGTCCACTGCTTTTAAGGACTTGGTTTTCTTTCAGCAAACATGCTGTCAGCTATTGTAAAATCCTGGCTTGTACAATAGACAAGTCCTCCAAACTGTGTCTGCTCCAATTCTTTCTAATCAATGTTAAATATCTAATATATGTGACTTAAGTACAAAACCATTCTGGATTTATTTATGGCGTAATTTTTCCTGTTAGCAAAAACTCTGGGAAAGCAGGTTTCACAAAACCAGTATGGAACTGGACTCTGTGTGCTGAGACTTGGTAATGACTTGTATTTAAGCCATTAATTTCGAATGCCAATTATGTGCTTAGAAGTGCAGTAGTAAATATAGTAGTTTAATGCCTACAATATTTGCTTAGGAAAGGCTAATTAACTGCTGCTTCCATCTCTGCTTTATGTGAAAAGTGAAAGACTTGTGTGTCTGGAAGAATTTAATGATAAGGAGACAGTAGTAAAAGTTCTTTGCTGAAATTTGCACAGCTCATTGAAATGTAGGTCTTTCATTCTTCCAGCTGGAAGATTTGACTTGTTTCTGCTCTTCTCAGTTCATGACCTTCTCCCCTCCTCTGAAAATAAAAATGTAACCCTGTGAGAGCAGAAGTAAAGGGCCCTGGCCAAGGTATAGGGAGGGTTTTCCCCAGGGTTGAAGGAACTGGAGGATCAAAGCCCATTGCATTGATTCTGTTGTGAATGAGATCTTTGAGGTGAGGGGGCTTCCGGCATAGTTTTATGTCCATTGTTTCTGATTTTTGAGATCTCTGCCATCAACTTAATAGAAGCCGACATGGCTTGCTTTACAGTTTGGATGCTTTATTGTCTGATGCTGTCAGGTAGGCTAGTGAATGAGATTGGAATTCTAGGCAAATAAACTGTCTGGAAAGATCAAGTACTTAAAATCCAACTTTGAACAAGTTAGCTACCAGTACAGAATGTGTGCAAAGGACCAAAGAGCCAAGAGAGTATGGTAGAGGTGTAGGTGTGACACTTGGCACCTGCTGTTAAAATGAATGAGCTGCTCTGTGTTGCTATTAAAGGTATTGCCCTGTAAGCTTAGGACATAGAACTAGCATTTGTTGGAAATGAATAATGCCCAAATCAGCGGTAGCAGCTTAAGGCAGCGAGCTATGCTAAGCATCCGAAAGTCAGCTTGCCAAAACTAGTCATGATTTAAGCTACTTGCAAATAAGAAATAGCTTGTTAAATGTTGTAATGCATTATAAAGGTGGGATGCTTCACATCCAAGACTGCTTTGGAATATAGGTGCACTTAAAAGATTTCCTGCCATGCCTAAGCATCTTGGTACTGCTGTTAATTGCCATCCCTGGGTCCAGAAGTTACCTTTCTGTACAGTGTTTTTTTTTTTTGTCTAGGTGTGTTGCTTTTTGATGAATGAATGTTACTTTTTACTCTGGACTATTTTTGTTTTCATGAGATTCCACAAAAACAATTGAGTGTCTTGTGATATTTATTAATGGCTTGTAGGTCTCCCCTTGTGCCACAAATGTTTAGCTGACTGAGCCACTGAATTCATTCCTTCTGAACTGACTGAAAAAGGCAGTTGCTTCATCTCTGCAGTAGAGCCCCACCTGAACAAGATAACAATGCAGGCTATTACTGGGTGCTTAGCAGTCATCCTCTGTGCTCTCTTGTATAGTAGCCATTTTGCTAATAAGATAATTTATGTTCTGTTTTCTTTTAGTATCTCACCTCTTATTTGTGGGGACAGGCATCTGTAATCAAGACATCCCTCCTGCCTGCTTCCACATGCAGGAGAGGAGAAAAAGTTCTTTCATCAGTCATGTAAAAAACAAACGCATACACCCAAGTAATAAAAAGCCTTATTGAAAAATAGGCCCAGGTACATTCCTGGCTTCCCACTTCTTGTGCAAGTCTTCAGGTATTAGTGTGTGCGACAGCCCCATACTGGATGCGGCATAAGGCCTGGCAGACTTGCACTTTACTGCTTTGTCAACTCTGCAGATTGTACCAGTGAAAGCCGCACATTTGAAGTTGGAGAAAATCAGAGCTAAATTCCTGTACTACCCTGGCAATCACTAGTCATGTGGAGCTAATGCAGTCTAGTCACTTGTTGGATGACTCAAGGCTGACCTTAATAGATTGTTAGGATGGTTTTCTAGGCTGCAGGTAGCAAAGGCATGTCCTGTCTATTTAACCTTTTCCCTCCTCTAAGAGCTGTCTGCTACTGACCAGATCAGACATGGGACACAAGAGATGAAAGAGACTGTCAATGCAATAAAGCCCCAGAAGCAGGTGTGAACACTTTGCTGTGGCTTGGTTGAAATAGCCACAGTTGCTGGAAGTTAGCACCTGTTGCAGGAACAAAGGAATTGAGAAAGGATGATTGTTACCATTGCTTCCCTTGTACATAGCTAGTCTGCTTGGTTTATGGGAACCATGCCATACCTTGTTTCCTGTATTTGGTTTTGTCTCTTGCTCCTTTTTTATCTCGCCATTTGAATTAAATGAAGTGCCCAACATTCAAGCAACAGAGTGGCTGTCTTGAGTTAAATCCAACTTACCTTGTGGGGAACCCAGGAAATCTCTCCCTTTGTCTTCCCAGTGCTAGGGCAACTTTGTGGGCCACCCCAAAGTGCCCTGTGGTCATCTGCCTCCAATGGTCGCTCAAAGGCTGGCTTTTAGCTCAGGGCTGGCCCTGCCTCCCCCGGCTCTAGCCCAGTCACAGTAAGCCTCTACATCATGTGGTCCTGACCCCCAGCCAATAGACAGCAGACTTGTGAACAAACTTGTTCACTTCCCAGAAACACCAGTCGGCTTCCTTCAGGCAACAGGCCCACTTATCAGCCAGAAGACCATGGCTGAAGACCATTCTACATCAGCTCCATTTCAGTTCACCAAAGCTGATCCACACTCCTTGAAAACAGAATAAGGCTGATAACAGCATCTGTAACTTCTAATAGCCATGCAGCTACACACAGATGACATCAGAAAGCTTGTTGGATGCAGACCTTGCCTCTAGCCCCCCAGGCCCAGTTGACCAATTACTGGTTGGCCTCCTTTCATGCCACAACTGAGAAGACTCGGATCCTCCTCCTCCTACTTAACATAATTGACCATCTCCTACAGCCACTAACAGGACTTGGCACACCCATTAAACACAGGGCATACAGTTCCCACCCCATATGCAGATTGGGAAGCCTTGCTGGGACACCATATTAAATTGCTTTTGAAGCATTCTTTGGTGCTTGTGCTGGACTTAACATCTAAACCCCCTCACACACCCCTTAGAGAGGCAGACAGAGAAAAAGCCACAGGATGGGAAGTAGCTGCAGTCTACATAGGACAGGAACACTGCTGGGAACAGAACCCAGGTGCTTCTGATTCCAAGTCCTGGACCCATCTGCTCAGGCCACAACCTGCTAGTCACTAGGGGTGGGTCAGGACCTAGTAGGAAGTAGCTGCAAGGAAGACGTGGGCCAAGATCCTGCAAGCCCCTCGTGGGTGCAGTGAGTTCTAGGGAACTCCACCCCACCCCATATAGGCAAAGGCTCCTGGAGCCAGATATTTAAGGGTACTTAGGCACAAACAGAAGTGCAGGAGTTAGCTGAGCACTGAGGCACCATCCTGTCCCCTCCCATGGGTGTTAGGCAACCACTGACTTTTATGAACCTCACTTCATGGCTAAATACCTTAAACATCTGGCCTTTGCTGTGCCAAAACAATACCCAAAACCTGTGTTTGTTCGCCACAAGCGCTCAGTGCCATGGCAAGAGGAAGGGGGAGGTTATCTTCAAATACTCTCCACACTAGCCTCCATGTTCATGCTGGTCAGTCCACGCAGGTTTCTCTTGCAGCGCCAAAAACATATTCATGCCTGTACTGGACAGACATGGTCTTGACATCAGCAACCACCTGTTTGATGGCTTTTTGCAAACTCAGTTGCATGCACTGATCTAACTCAGGGTTGGGCAATTATTTTGGGCAGAGGGCCGCTTACTGAGTTTCGGCAAGCCAGAGGGCCGCATGACAGGGAGCTCAGGGCAGATTAATATTAATTTTCTAAATTTTTTAGGGGCCTCGCGGGCCAGATAGAATGGCCTGGTGGGCCACATCCAGCCCCCGGGCCGCATTTTGCCCACCCCTGATCTAACTCCAGCTGGAGCCACATGGCTGTGCGCTGCCCTGTGTTACTGTTGTTGGTTAGTTCTCAGTGAGGCAGAACACAGCTCCCCTAGCTCTGGTAACTGCTTACATAGAAAATGCACTGAACGCAGCTAACAGCCCAGCAGCTGGCAACAGCGAGCCAGGCCTGTACAAACCCAATGCTGCTCACGCTGCGAGAATGTACACCAGACTGCTATTGGCACTCTCCCAGCTACACGGGGGGGAGGGAGCCAGCCAGCTGCCCCACACACACGATGGGGGTTTCCATTCAATCTCTCTTCCCTCTTAGGGTATGATTTCAAGTCTGGAAAGCAAAAGTGGGTGCTGGGCAACTATGGCACCCCATATGCATATGTCAGATGCCCGGAACAGGAGGGGAGGGTTTTGGCTTCCACAGTTTCAAGTGAAGAAGACTGCAGGCATGGTAAGCATGGGGGATTTCCACTGTTTGCACACACACCACCTATCCATAAAGCCCCTCTCACTTCTTGGTATCCAACAGCGAGGGCTGGGGTAGACAGGCCCCACTTCACCTGGGCTTAGAACTGGTAAGAAAACTCACCCCTGCAACCCTCACCTCCCCACACTCACTCTGAAAAGCTTAAAAGGGAAAGAAAAGGAAGCCAGGGGAATGCTCCGATTTTACGAGACACCTCTCTACCTCTTCCAGGGAAGCTAATGGACACTGCAAAATCAACATCCAAGTTAAAAAAAAACACCCCAAAAACCTGCTGCTGGATACTGCTGCTGTAGAGAACAGAGAAGGAGATGGGGTAGCCCTCCTCGTAGTCCTGCCGTTGAGGGGTAGCTCCCTGAAGCATGGCAGTAGCTTGTCACCATCCCACTGCACACTGGTGGCAGCCTAAGAAGGGCTGGCTGTATTCAGAGCAGTCCTCATCTACTGCATGCAATTGCCCTCTCTCAGTAGAGGATGCCACAGATCATCCTATTTGGAGCATCCAAACTGAAGGAAACGAGCAGATTTATCCTCAACACCCCCCCCCCCCCCCCCCCCCTCGCACCATGCAACACAAGCAGCAGCCTCACACTACAGACTGACAAAATGGTGAGGGGGCAGCCAGCTTCAGAAAAGCTCCTGTGCAAGCGAGATGTTTAACTCTCACTGAAAGGCCCTGAGACCTAGGCATCATTTCCAAAGCCCCTAAAGCAGTGGTTCTGCAGCTTGTTAGACTCAAGGCAGCCCTTGGGAATGTCAGCTCTTTGCTTTCACTCATTTCCTGACTGGAAAAATAGCAGAGCAGTTCTTCTGTTGCAGTCCAACCCACCTCACTACTGGGATTGCATGCCTCGATGCCATGGGTCTGAGCCCGTTGGCTGCTGTGGGTGTGTGTGTTAGTTGTGAGGGTGGTGATGGAGCTCCTAGTAATGCAGCAGCAGGGCTACTCACTCACAAGTTCAGACTCCCAGACGCATGGTCCTGGCACTCCCCAGCAGCCCACCCTTTTCCACATGCTCTGCCTTCTGGAGCACAGCCTTTCCCCTTGTTACAAACCAGGCCTATCAGAGCCACAGCCCAAGCCATTCGACGGGCAGCTGCCATCCAGCAGCTCAGGGCAGAGTTTCTGCCCTGTGCTCCTAAGCAGTCCTGGGCAAGTGCCCTTAGCTACATGGCAGGTGGAGCAGCCATTGCCACACATGGGGACAGACCTGAGCATACTCCAATGCAGGGGGTGCAGGTCACAATTGCAATGGGAGTATCAGCCCAAGGACACCCCCCGGCACCCCTGCCAGGCTTGCTTCCTGAAGGCTCACAGTACTGACAAGCCTCATAGGCAGGTGGGGAGGATAAAGGCCCAAGACTCTCATACCCACAAGAAATAGAAATAAAACTAGAGAAGACAATGACCGGAGCCCCAGGAAAGCACCCAAGAGGAACAGAATCTTGCTATAGTTCCTTTTTTTGCTACGTGTAGAGTTAGGAGTTGGGTCCCCACAGTGCCCTCAGATGCCTTGTCAGTCCCCCAAGCCCCGGGCTGCACTCAGCCCACAGGGCACAGACACATGGGCACACCCCAGGCCCTGACGAGCGGCCAGGGGATGACGGAAGCAGGCAAGACTGCTTATACTGCGCCAGAGGAAAGGGGCAGGCCTCCCCAGCCAACCCCGAATGCACGCTGGGAGGCATCCAGCTGGAAGCTGAGCCGACTGCCTGGATCCTGTTATGAGACACTAGAACATCCCTGAGGAGATGCGGCTCCCACGCTCCAAAAACCTCTGTGGCAACGGACCGCATGCAGCACTAGGGCACTCTGCAGAAGAAACTACCCGACTGGATCCCGTGGGTGCAGCCTCGCTGCCCTGCAAGTGCAAAACAGGTCAAACATCTGCTCCAGGGAAGCCACTCGGACCACAGCAGATCGTGCCACCAATCTTGACCTGGGATGAGAGCACCCTAGGGCTTGTGCTGGCAGGACGGGAAGCAGAGGTACAGCAGCAGAGCCCTCTCGTGGGGACACAGCATACGGCAGCGAGGAGGGTTCTCTCCCTGCCAGGCTGCATCGCCTTCCGCAGGACCAAACCCCACACAGCAGAGATGTGCCAGACAAGGGGTGAGCTCAATCTCAGCCCTTGGCTGGCACAGTGCTGTGCTCCACTGAGCCCCTGCACAGGGAGCTGCTCTGGAAGAGCCCTTTGGGATCAGCTGCCAGGGCACACAAGCCCTAAACCCCCTTTCAGCTCCCCTGGGGGAAGACTGTGCTGTGCCCCATGAACATGGCATTGCTTTAACTGGGGTGGTCACCAAGCCTGTATCACTGCTGCAGGGGGGCGCTCTGCAGAGCAGCCTCTTGGGCAGTGCAGTCTAACCAAACCCAGGTCCAGCCTTAGACAGATCAGTAGCGTGCATGTGGCTAGGAGCTGGCCACCCAGGTGGCATTTCAGGCCATTCTCAGGGACCCGAGTTCAGGAAGTAAAGTAATTCTGGGTCAACAAAAAGCAGAAGAGGACCAAGGCTCTCCCATCTCTCCTCGGTCCAACAGCTTGGGGACTTGGGGTGGGAGGTACCCGGCAAGTGGGAGAGAGGCTCAAGGCCTCTCCTCACTCAGCATGGTTTGAATTGACAACTGCTTTGCAGTTAAGTGTCCCAGGCCTATGCCGCAGGCTTTGTGCTGTCAGAACCACCCGTCCTGGTGAAGCTGCGGGGGCAAGTTGTGAGGCCAGAGGGAGTGTGGTGGGCACGGCCCCAGAAGGGAAGGGGGCCAAGGGCCTACCACCACCTCTGCCTTTTGCATACCGGTCAGTGGATAAAATGGACAGGGCAGTGAAGTAGCCCCTGCACTGCTGGGGCCAGAAGCCAAGCCCTTCAAACCCCTGTGTCTGATGCCAAGTTCCAGAAAAAGT